AATAGAGGAAAAGGCATGCCTAAGTCGCGTCTTGGTGAAGCGTGGTTATTCAGGAAGAATTTTGACGCGGCAGCAAAGCTCAAAGCCTCACAAGATAATTGGTGTTTTACGGCATTACGTCTAAACCATAATGAGGAGATGAGTTCTCCTTTTCCGGAAGATCTTCGCTATGAGAGCTTAGTTGCGTTATTGAGGGGTGATGTTCGATTGAACGTTCATTGTTACGAGGTAGGTCATTACAGATCAGTTATTCAATACAAACTTGGGCGTGGCTCTTAATTGGGTGTTCTTTCTATTGTGCGCTTTCCCGACTCTGTAGACTATGGATCTCGAAGCCATGATTCGTCATTCATACGAGTTTAACTTCAACATCACGGCCTTTCATCATGCGCTTGATGCATATAGAGTCCCAGATATAATCAAACGCAGTCGAAATCAGATCACTATAGCCACGTTTGCTGATCATTGGGGATATAAGAAAGAAGCTTTCCAGGCGAGCGCACAGTCTCCAAAGATTTTGACAGAAGCGGGAATTCCAGTTGCTTTGAAAAGTGACCACCCAATACTCAATTCGGTATTTGTTCGACTGACAATTACTTGTTATGCATAAGATAATCCGTCATCAGTGAGCATAACTGGTGGATATGTTTGTCTCTCCCTACCATGTGTTATATATATATCAGCAACATTTAGCATTCGAAGCTGCTAAAGCTTCTTATTATGGTCTCAGTGAACAACATGCTCTTGCTGCCATCACCTCTATTCCTGCTAAAGCATTGGGAATTGACCATCGTGTTGGACAAATTGCTGTTGGATATGATGCTGACGTTTTGGTATGTGGATTAGAAAGCTTTGATAGAATGAAATATTGATTGTACCAATGTTGCGCTTTGTTTTATATTGTTGTCTTACTAATAATGTGTATTCGAACAATGCCGTTAAGGTGTGGAATAGACATCCACTCGCTTTGGGAGCTTATCCATTGGAAGTTTATATTGATGGGATTCCTCAGTTTAACACTTCTTCGTCTGTCCTGAGCGGTCCAACAGATGAGCCATATACGTTATACAATGCCACACGGCACTCTTCTGTGGATACCGAAGAACGTATCGTATCTTCGGTAGTAATCAAGAACATTGGTAAAATATTCGTTGGCGAAGAATCCATCATGGAATCCACGCCTGCTGGTTCACTCACAATAACCGTTAGTGAAGGTCGCATTATGTGTATTGGGCCAGATTGTACTATAACTGACACGGTTGGATATGATGTGGTTGATTTGCAGGGTGGATATGTATTGCCAGTAAGTTTTATTTTCATTAATATTGACATCATCGGAATAGCTTATAACACAGTGTTTCATTCTAGGGCATCATTGCCGCTGGATCTACTCTTGGATTGTCAGAAATAGAACAGGAACAAATAACGCAAGATGGGTATGTCAATTCATTTGAGAGTCCCGATTACCCAAAGAGAATAATTCGCGCAGTTGACGGATTAAAACTCGGCGGAAAGCATCTTGAGAAAGCATACAAAGGGGGCGTGCTTACTATTATCAGCCCTCCGATGGCTAATAAAGGCGTACTTGCTGGTGTGTCCGCTGCATTTAAGAGTGCTAGCAATAGTGGTAGGCCGTTGTTATTGCATATGTTATCGATTAAAGATCACCAGTGGTCAAATACTTATATGTTTAATACCACAAATCACTTGACAGTCATTGATGACGAGAATGAAGTTATTGCCAAAGCAGAAGTCGCACTACATGCACAAATTGGTACCCCATACAAAGACGGTATGCTTGCAATCAAACGATAATTGAGCTCTAGTTCAATACGTTCACCTGTCAACACCATTCTAATCTCATTTTCTCATGCGCCTTACAAATAGAATCGATCACAACGGTATCCGGTCAAATAGCATTCTTGCGCAAAGCCCTCCTCGATAATCTCCAGTTGAAAGGGTCGCCAAATTTCTACGCGCTCGCCGCGAAAGGCGACATACCATTCGCAGTCTATACGCATAGCAAAGATGAGATTGCATCTCTAATCCGTCTAAAGGATGAAATAGATGGGGCAGGTGGCAAACTTCGATTAGTTATCGTTGGAGGAGCAGAATCTTACTTCCTGGCATCTCACTTGGCCAAACGAAAGATACCAGTGGTCGTCATCCCGGCTAGACCTGTGCCCGAACTTTGGACTGCTCAGAACGTACTCACTGGACCCCCCATTAGTAACAAGACACACATTGAGATATTGCACGAGCATAAAGTTTTGGTAGGTATTGGTGTATCAAATCCCGGCCGGGCGAGAAATTTGGTATGGGATGCTGGTTGGGTGTGCAAAAATTCGAAAAACAACGCAATTTCGGAAAAGGACGCAATTGGCTTTATTTCCTGGAACTTAGAGCAGATATTTGGGATCGGTAAGCATGTCGAGGGCAAGGGCAGAAATAAGGGATTTTCAGTAGGCGCAATTGCGGATTTCGTCGCGTATGATGGCAGTCCATTCGACATGAGGAGTCGGGTTAAGGTGATTGCTGGTGGTGGAAAGAGGCAAATTATTATTGATCCTAAGCAAGAATAATAATTAAAATGAGAGAAGGGGTGGTTTATAATTTTCTTTTTTCCAGAAAGTCAAGGATTAATAGAAATTCAATAAATAGAGTAAAGACATGTCAAAGAGTAATTTAACGGTACTCGGACGCGCACTTGGCGTGATTTCTGAACTATTAAATAAAAATAAATACAGTCGCATCAATATCACTTTAATTAATTACTAAGATTAAAGGACCAAAACTCTTAAATCGTTTGAGAGCAACGAGTTCTGGCATAGTACTGGTTTGCCATTATTACACTTGGCAGTATAGACTGTTGCATAGCCACTTTACATCTGTATTAGTTCGTATAAATTTTTTCAATACTGTATGTGCGTCGTGGTCACTAAATAATATTTTCGCGTCGATGGTAATCCAAACATTATCTGGTGTCAATATCTCCGGATATTCTTCAGTTAGCTATTTAATAAACAAAACAATCATATCAATCATCGATTAAACGCATCATAAATACGCAAACTAACAATACTATTTGTTTACATGTGAAATGATTTACCTCAAATCAACATTATTATTATTATTATTATTATTATTATTATTATTATTATTATTATTATTATCACTTTTAACGTCGTACAGTATATTCCTATATATAGTATTTAACACAACTATCGGTTTGAACATTCATTTGTTGTCTGTCCTAGCCAATCTGCATTCGTGGTGTAATAATGTCATTTCTCGTATGTTCATCAATAGAGAATACTCTATCCAAGACTTGTTGCATAACAGAATGCTTTATCTCGGGTTCTAATTGACATGTACACGCCAAACATAATTCATTCTCCGATTATATCCAAGGCGGCCCAATTTAAAGATGGTCATCTAGCACTATTGTTGGAATAATGACGTTATTAATCCTACATTCAGGTCGAATAATTTAGTCACCACTGGTTAAACGAGAATATATTATGAATTTTTAAATTTTCGAAGAATACTTTCAAATCCCTGCTGAAGTGTTGGCTACATCAGATTAGAGAGATGGATCTCAATAAAGTATCAACATCCCGGTTGGAAAAATTTGATATTTACTTGCTAATGTCGAATTCGCGGAAAAATTAGCATAGTGATATAACTCTAGCTTCTGATAAATTGACCAATATGCTAAATAGTCTTTTAGCAAAAAACCGGTGAGGAGTATTCCATCAAAATGAATTACAAAGTTATGATGTCCACTATACACATGTTCTTAGCGTGTTGTGTTTAGATATGGCCACAATGCGAGGCAATAGCTCGTGTAACAGAAAGTGATTGCCTCTTCAGAAAAAGCGGGAGGCGTGTAAAGGAAAGGGCGTAGATCTCATTTTCGGCTGATTTGTTTCCATACATTTATCATACATTACGGGGGGAATATCGCTCCGCGAACATATACTCAAAATAGATTAACGGAAAATTAAATCGATACAAGTAGTGTGACTTATTATTATCTTAGACCGAAAAGCTTGATGGGTGCAACACGTTCGTCTATCACATCGACTATATATGCGAATTGGCTTTAAGCCATTAAAAACATGCATTTTTCTTGGATAGCAACAGTTTTAATTAACTTTCAACTTCTTTATCACTCTAGTAATGATTAATGTCCATTCACTAATATAGCTCTTTATATATTAAAGAGAGCATTCTTTGTCATTTGCCTGCAACAATTACTGCTGATAGCATTGTTACAATATTATTATTATTATTGACTTTATCCTTTAAAATTTCAAATACTCAATAGGGTCGTACTCTCTAAATATTTCTCTAAACCGATTTGTATCTTCCCGTTCCCTCTCTTCATTAGTCACGCACGCCCTCCAATCAGCACGCTCCGGGGCGCCAAGCAAATGTGCGAGCACCTTCCTGCAATATCAGAAATCAAGATTAGAACAGATTCAAATAAATTCACCAAATCCCTCAATACAGCTATTATTACCGTCCAAATTGTGCATCAAAGATCTCATTCTGTTTCAATTCATAGAATAAAGACGATCCGTCCGGCAAATCAACTTTAAAAAACGACTGCGGGAGAACGGACGGCAGCTGTTTGAATGTCCACCCGGATGATTCGGCTTCATTTATAAATGCCATTCGTACTTTATTCGAGTCGTATTTTGATGGTATTGGTACCACCTGCATATGCGCATGTTGATGCGAACCAGGCTTGGAAAGCTCAAATGCGACCATTCCAGCGCCGTAGTGTTCATACATGCGTCGGATACCAGATTTAAATTTTTCTAATTCGTTTAAGAGGTTTACTTGAATTTCTAGTGGAGCTTCTCGGAAAGTTCCATGATGAGCAATTGAGATCTAATTTGTAGGTACGTATGTTCAGCGACGAATGTCATTATAGGTATTGAATGGGAATAAGAACGATTCGAGTACGATTAGGAAAATGCCAGTAGTTTGACATGATTGGATGTTAACGCCAACACTAGTGAGAGGAATACTTACGAGAAGTCCATGACCACCCCCTGGTACTAGTGACATTGAACTGTCCGTCGTATCTATAAGACTACCTTTAGCTAACTGTAATAAATTGTTGTCAGCAATCAATAGCATATATACATGTGAACAGAATGGTCGAGGTAAAAAAATAAATTACCGTTAAATAAATCTCTGATGCAACAGTGACAATTAACCTGCAGAATGAGCTAGGGTAAGATACGCAAGAGACAAACAACAACGCGCTCGATAACGCAATACTTAGATAACATACTGTTTGGCAGTTCTCGGGTTCGATAGGCAAAACCAACAAGCGCTGGCTACGAATGAAATATTTATCAGTAAAGGACAAATCAATTGAAAGATCAATGACATTCACCTGATTTAGAAAAACGCGTACTATCTCTTTTGGCAGTGATTTTCCTGTTTTTACAATCAGAAAGATAATGCCCTTTTTCTCCGCATGCTTTGCAAGTATATTCAGGACCGGGGACTTTGATTGACTTGCTTTCTGGACATTCTTTTATCCAATGACCTGGAGTTTTGCATATATTACATACATAATTCTCTGGCGGCAGGGCTAGCGTGGAATAAAAAAGGGTTGATTAGCTTCCCGCGTAAAAGATATGAGGTTTGAAGCATGTCATAACGAAAGTAACCAACTTTTCTTTCTTCGCTTGTTATCAAACTCTTTCGCCTGCATATCATTACTCCACAAATAATTTCCCGGTCCACCTTCCTAATAAAAGATACTAAAAATAAGTCCGTGTAATGATGTGCGATATGTGCGCATGTACAATAACACTTTACCTCACGGCCACCATCTCTCTTCTTTCCAGTTGCAGGCGTCTCGGATTGTTTTAAAAGATACGGGCACTCTGTTGTATTTGGTGGATGCCGTAATATATCTGCAGATGAATCCAATTGCGACAGTGGAACTAAATTGAAACCATAGTACCACTTGATACAATCCAAGAATTAAGTCATCATGATGACAATTCTCCAATAATACTATTCCCAACCACACCACACGCCTCACCTTTTCCTTGTGTGTATTCCTGACTTCTGCTAATCCAACAAACCATGTAGCATGGTCAAATCTTCGCCTCGTCTTCATTCCTTCATCTCCACTCTGCTTCTCCCTTAAATCTTTTTTGTCATCGTGCAATAATTGTAATACCCTCTTTTCTTCTTCCGCTCCAATATTTTTATATGGCTCTCGTTGTAGAAATATTCCTTCTGAGGCAGCAATATGATATCTCGGTCGTACGTACATCGCCAGATCAGCCACAAATTTTGATCCAACAATGTTTTGCGGAATCTTATGTGAGGATAGAAGTTGTATGTCCTTTGGCCATTCATGCGTCAGGAGAATATCGACGTCTGTGGGAAGAGCGGGCGCAGGGGAAGCTAGAATGCCGCTGGTAAAGGCAACTGTTACGTTGTTGATTGTCGTCATTATACCGTGGGCACCTTTTGTGTCGATTATGAGGAGGGAGTAAGAGTTGGAGGTAGAATCAAAGAGAATTTCGGCATAGCTCTATCTTAACTAGTATCAAGAACCTGATCTTTACCTAAATAAAACAAATTCTCACAAACTTCTCCATGGTTATCGTCAATCCGTTTTTTGATTGCAGTTGGTAGAGGGTATCTTCCGTGCATGAAATACGTCATTATTGGAACTATATACATATGGTCAATATAAAAATGCCAATCATAGGAAACCTTACTCAGATGCAGACTTGCGATTACCAAGACCTCAACTTACCGTGAATGCTTCCGGACAAAACAGCGTTAACTACATCTTCGTCAGCGTCCCCAAACAAGTCACCAACACACAACAGCATATCAAAAGGACCGTATTTTCCATTAATCTTCGTTATTCCCGTGAACAATTCTTCAATCATACCATTCGCCGAGCCTGTGGCTAAGCTACGGATATTAACAAGTCTCTGAATTAGAGCTGAGAAGGAATATCATTGTGAGTAGACACGTTGTACTAACATACACTTTGATTTGGTCTCGATCCATTGTTGCCAAAAAAACCCAAAACCCAAAGTCTGTCTGTCAATCGCTTACGACATCGAAAATGGCACGTGTCAAAATAGTTCCATTTAAAGACTACCAATTTTCACACTTATTATTATTGTTTACCTGTTATTATGACATCCCAGATACAAGAGAGTCCTACATATCGATATACCACGTACTCTGGGTCTGCCAATGGTAATTGAACAAAGCATAAATTCTTTATTCAGACCCAGTTAATAATTGATTGAATGCCTTTAGAAGGACAAGGCAGTAACGATATTGTCGTTCGTGGAGACATGGTCGACAACTCAGGTTCGTGACAAATCCTTTCCGTGCAATTATATTGTTTTATTGGGGTTTAATTATTTTGTGCTTAAATGTTGTAGGCAGAACGTCTGCAGAGCGAACCGGGAATGGTAGTTGACCAATTCGAATATTGAACCATTATCCATTGCATTAGTCATGCTATTCCTCTTATATTGTGCTATTCATTCAGCGTCCACTTTCTTCCCTTTGATTTGATATCTCCAGCCGCAAAAGTAAAGATATATGACGGCCCACCACTTCTTCCTTCATCATCATACCTTTCAATTTGCTCATTGGAATCACAGAAACAGTCAAGGTCTATTCCAAAATTAATAATTCTTGATCTTAATGGTACACTTCTCCTTCGAGTCAAGCCTAAAAGCATAAGACCTCGCCCATATTTGATCGAATTTTTGGATTACCTATTTTCCTCTTCTTTTGAGGTCATGGTGTGGTCCTCTGCCATGCCGAAAAATGTGAATTTGATGGTAGAAACCGTGTTTCCACCTCGCTATGTGGACAGACTAAAAGCAGTATGGAATAGAGACAGCTTTGGACTGACTCCAACACAATATGGTATCAATTATTTAACCGTGAAGAATTTCGAGCTTGTTTGGAAGAAATTAAATGGCGATTCAGACGATGAGGAGCAGCACCTTAACTTTAATACTGTAACAACAGCAACAAAGCCAAAGTGGGATCAAACTAATACAATCATTATTGATGATTCAACAGAAAAGACTCAACTACAACCACACAACGCTATACATTTAACTAAATTCGATAACGAAAGATTCGACGAGGGAATTGACTGTGACTTAATAAACGTAATACCATATTTAGAAAGAATAAAACGCGAAACAAATGTTAGTTATTTTATCAAGAACAATCCTTATAATCCTCTTACGGCAGTAAGGCAGGATCAGGGTAGCATGAATAGCACGAAAACGGTCGTGGATACGCGAAATGTAGATCAGCTGGCGGTCGCCACTACAGTTGTGAATAGTAATGGCAGGATAAATGAAAAGGCCGAACAGGGCAGGGGTAGGCGAAGATGGCAAAGTAGTGCTCGGAAGAGCGATGATCGTAAGCAGTATCAACGGCGCGACGGAAGAAAGTCTTACAGCAGTAGTCAAAGTGTATCGACTTCTGATGAAAGCCGATGGCATGAAAGAGATTACAAATATAAATGGCGTCGTGATCCCTATTACAAAGAGCGACGCCATGATAATAGTAGTGATAGTAACCGTAACAGATATGTTAGTTATGGACACGATAATGGATATTATCGTGATGAAGATAGACATTTTGGCAGGGAAGACCGCCAACAAGCAAAGAATAAGAAGAAAAATAGGAATAGAAATAGAAGTAGGGATAGGAAACGTTATCATCATGACGATAGCCGAATGCAAATGTGGGTGAGGTGAAATTATACAAGTAAACATTGATTGATAAGATTAACCAAATTTGATTTCCTCAAAAAGTTATTTACTAGTATGTTTTTGTGTATTCATTATTCTGGACGCTAATATGCGGAGTCTTCGCGTGGATTGTCTTTAAGATGGGAAGGTGAGGGAATATCACTTTAAAAATTTGTATATCTATAAGTCAGATTAATCAAATAAATTTAATTACCCCTTGAAAAAATATTGAAAGGTTCCTCCTAATAAAAATAAAGTGACTATGGTACGGACAAAGATGCATATTAACAAAGCTTTCCGTAATGCACTGTAGTAGTCTGACCATCCGCCTGCCCAACTGACCCTGTATTAGAAGAGAACGAAAGCAAGAGGTACGCAATGTCACATAATCAGCACAAGTTTATAACACAATTATCGCGTAACTGATTGATAATACCAACCTCCTCCTTGCCAGATCCAACTTCTTGTCTTTATATGATATTCTATTATTTCGTAAAAAACACCAAGTAAAGAAATTGACATCCCAGTAATCAAATTTCGGCCTGATTGCATCTAACCGCCTTTGTGGTGCTTCATTCTCACGGAACATTAAATCAATTAAATCACTTGTCATCTGCAGAGTCAATCCCCATAAATCCAAATGCATCTTTGTAGTCCCATTGACGCCGCCGACAAACGGCAATTTAATACAATGGAAATGCAATCGACCTGTTAGGGTCATCAATACAGTTTGTAATAATAAAGAATTCGGAGCAAGACGAGATGAAATGTCGACCGACACTGGATTCCATAGTTGGGTCAACTTTTCGTCAAAGAATATGCGCAATGGGATCCATTGTGTAGAGTCTACTTCTGAACCTGATATTTCGATTGGAAGATCGTCGGGAGTTATTTGCAGAAAAACTGTAGGCAAAAGTGCAATGGTTAGGAAACTGATTTTCTCAAGGGTATAGGAAACGATTCTTAGAGTCGAATTTCATCTATTCCGCTTACCAAAAGGACACAAGATCATCAGCAGTTGCTTTCCAAAAGTAGTTGTAACCTCTCGATCGTCTAATGCACCGACACAGATGAATTTTTTCGAATCTCCCAAATCTAATCCAACTAATATTATGAGGAAGGAGAAAAAAAAACTGTAAAAGCTTTGCAATATACGACCCATTCCTCTTTCCTTTATATTAATTGTGTATTCTGCGTAGATGAAATCAGTATTTTACCTTCCTCAAATGTCTCTCGTTCTGCCGTGTCCAAGTCATCCTTGTCCTCTGGATCTTGCTTTCCGCCTGGGAATGCGACCTGCCCGCTCCATCGATCCCCTTCTCTTAACGCACGCTTCATGTACAAGATTTCCGGGTCACCTCGAGATATCCAGGGTTGATTGAAAAAGTCATCAAGAGTGAACACGGGAATTTGAGCAGCGGTATACGGCTTTTGAGGTCGTATTCGTATTATTATCGCTACACTCGCGCGCCGCGGTTGCGAAGGTGGTGAGAGGAGCTTTTGAGGAGGGATGTGTAGGAGATTAGTTAAGCCAATTTTTAGGCGAGTAAGTTGATCAGCGGCTGGGATAATAGACAAATTGAAAAAATATGTGAACATTTAGAATGTAGTAAAAGAAAATGATTACATTAACAGACGGATGAGAGAGTGATAAATTGGCGTGGCTTGAAGTACTTGAGTATTGGGCGACACTCACATTGCTCTGTCATTTTTCAATAAAAAAGAATGTTGGGTGTGTAATAGTAATTGAGCAACTGGAGTTTTATATTTTCTAACGACATAATCAACTAGCCCATATATAGTCAATCAGGAATGGTCACAAAGAAAAAGGTCCACGGTCACATGCGTCGTGAATGAACAATCAATATTCGTATTGTTGATGGAAATTCCAATTTTTGGGTTAGTGTTACTCTCAAAGATTTGTCGTTGATAACGGACATTGGCAAACCAACTTGTTTAATTACGCAATGGCTGAAATATCAGGTACAATGCCACCCACCATTGATAATATTAAAAGCTATGTCCTTGTTAATGCACGATAAATTTGGCCATTTTTGTCTGCGCCGGAATAAAATGCGGGACGGTGTATCATCAATAAGAAGTCGGTCATTTGACATATTGATTCATGGCTGGTTTTCTCTCTCAAAGACAATTAACATGTCGAAACTATGTGCTTGTACAAGTCTACGCTCTGTAATTATTCTTTCTCCTGCAGCCACATCCAGTTTACTCTTTGCTCAAACCATTGCTCCGTTGCGCAAAGGTTTTTGCGTGAGAATCTGTACATGACGTTTACCATTTCCTTTTAAGTAAGAGGCGTGATTATCGCTCCAAAAGCGGTTACATTATTCCCTACCAACACATCATCTCGAAAAAAATGGTCTCTGATCCACACGACCAAAAATAGTCGAAGTCTACAAGGGATAAAGCTTTGGTATAGTTTATTCTCGCATTCAAGTCGAAACGGTTAAATTTCCTTGTCGTCTTATCCACTAGTAATGTCGTTTTCAATTGCCTCCAAAAGAAGGGTCTGCTCAATCCTTCAACCTTTTATTACATATGGCAAATTTTTGTTCTGGACGCTTTGCGTATTTTGGAAAGACCAGTAATCTTGCTGAGGATTTCGGTTTAATTAATTTTATATTGATCGGACTATCTCGTGGAGTTTAATTCGATTATCAACGCGTGACGAGGACCTTCGATAGCTCGTTATAATGGAAAGTTGGGCACAACCCATGAACTCCATTATAGCGTGAGTTCTTTGAATGATTTGTTCTAGTAGACTTTTTAATGATTGCATGCGTAATGTGAAAGTTGTACTTTCTACTGGATCCAGTTATTGTATCATAAAAATTGAAAGGCTAATACAGTCGACCTCCCCTACAGTCACACTGTTGTCGGGACCACGCAAAACTGGTGATTGACTGTATAGAAGGTTTGCGTATGGTCATGTGATTAAAATTATATGAGAAAATCAAGTACCGAAATAAATACCGAAATTTTCTTAACCTAACTTCCAAAGTATGTGTCAGTTGTTTTTCGAAATTCTTTGACATTTAGTAAATTTGGAAAACACGGAAGTCTTTGATATCAAGACCTACATCGTCTGATTGCTGCTCGAAAAAGTTAATAGCAGTCTCCAAACCTATTTGAGCTTCCTTCAATTGTACTGGTAATACCTCTTCGCTAGAGTCATCGCTTGTATATTCTATATCTTCTGCATTGACTAAATCAACAATTTGTTCAAATGATAATGGTTCCTCCGTTGGACAGGAACATCGAGATGGTTTTCAATAAATCTTTCACTGTTTAAGTCCGGACTTGCATCAATAATCTCACGAACTGGTGATGAAAGGATTCTAGTCTTACACCAATGCAATGCAGCAATAAATTTAATTCTTCTTTCACATTTACTTTGGATCTAAAAGAAATAAAAAAAATAAGTAATACATACAGTATATAACTCTTAGATGCCAACAAAATAGTTTTACCTGCTGTCAGTACTCCTTCATCAAATTGTTTGATCAAATGACGACAGAATAGTTGTCGTAATTGGCTTTAAAACTGTGGATAATACCCGCATCCATGGCTGCCGGTGTGCCGTAGTATTAGGCGGTAGATAATATAATGTACCGTCTGTTAATTTATCTTCGGCGCCACTTTTGTTTGATAACTGGATTAGAGTTGATTCCTCATCATCGTATCGGCGAGATTGCTTGTATTTCTGTTTTGAACAGTTTCGTCGGAATTATTAAGCCGCGAACGATCCAAATGCGAACTCGCATTATCCACAAATTGATTTTTTTTGATTGAGACCAACGGTCACGAAAAATTGATATTGTCCAATAACGAGAGGTTCGAGCTTGTGTGTCTCAGTAGCATTACAACTCAAGTTTAAACTTTATTAGTATTACACAGTGAACCTGGATATAACGAAACCTGGATAAAACGAATTTCGACTATAACGAAGTTTTTTCGGTGTCCCAAAACCTTGTCTAATAGAATTTCCTGCCCGGATATAACGAAAACCTGGATATAACGAAGAAAAAGGTTGGAACGGACCACTTCGTTATATCCAGGTTCATTGTGTACCTGGTATGCTGCTAACGCCTAGTGTTTGGTTGGGTTCCATCTCATCAACATTATAAATATGCTCAAGATCATACTTGGTTAACACCTTTTGCAGATTTAACCTTGTGCATTCCCAGCCTCTCCATGGAGTTATTTTATAAATAATTCTTTTTTTAAATTTGTAAACCCAGCCTTTTGAACATTGTATGTCACAATCATCAATATTAATATTGAAGCTTTTCACAAAATCACATCCTTAGCTTGGCTTACTATAATTCAATAGAAGACTCTTCATTGCCATCAAAAATCAAAATAAGTGTGCCATTAGTATTAGGGCCTTTGTCGATTATTTTATTTTCATTCAAATTACTTTGCAAGAACTAAGATAATAATTAGTATTAGTATTAGTATTGCAGGTTGTCTTGACATTTATCTGTAATCATTACTTACAGAGTCTTGTCATTTTACACTTGCAAATCTTATTATGTTCTGCAACTGCAGGTGCCATCATAATGTCTTCACAGTATGTTTTTACAACTTCAATGGCAGTGCCACTTGGGAACAAAGGTGGGCAAATTGCAGTGAATTGGAATAATTTGGGAAATCTGGTTCAAATAATAATGTCGTGCCGAATATCACGGGAGAGCAGGTAATAATCGACACTAGGAATTTAGCTAGTTTCAGCAAAGCGTCGGGGGGGGGGGGCTGGAGATTTGGCTCGGCCAAATGGGGTTAGGCGCTCCTGAAAGAATATTACTGATCTTAGTAGTATACTCCCGAAATCCTTATTTTTCTCAAATACATATTTATTCTTTCATCGCCGAAATACAGTCAACCCTCTCTATAGTCATGCTGTCGGGAACAAGGCAACTTTTGTTGAAAATGTGCTTATAAAGTGGTTGTGGGTTTTTCCTATAAGTTCAATAGTAATTGGTTCTCAAACATGGTGTGCTTATAGAGAGAGTGACTATAAAAAGGGTTGACTGTATTGATTATTAGACCGGACACTCCAATAAACGGCTCACTTAAGCTCTGCAGATCAATTAAGTGAATAACGGAACGAGAGTTTATAATCTATTATCAAGACGATTATTGTTTAATCAGTTTAATAAAGACAAGTGACAGACACCGACTAGTCGACAACCAAATCGAAGATGGCCCTGTTTATTTTAAATAATATTATTCCCCTTCGATTCTTTAATAGAATAATTGTTCTATTAGCGGTACCCTTATTTGTATTCACGAGTATTCGAAACTCGGATAGGGAGTGAAAAGCGCGCACATAATTAACTATACAGCTATCGTAGTAATAGTAAGGGCGCTAAACCTGGTAATATCTCCCGGTCGGCGAACACACCTACGCAAAAGATAAACCGCTCTCCCAAACCCCCATTTAATTCCCGACCGTAACAATTACTATACCCAATATAATATACCACATTTTTCAGCATCACATGAGCAAAGAAAAGACTCCAGCTTTGAAAAATATCTTGATAAAAGCCTCAAGCAAAATCTAAGAAGACTACCATTGCAATGCCTTCAATGTAAGCATGGCATCCAGAAATCTTCTGGTAGCTACCCAGGCCTCGTGCTTGTGGACTCCCTTTTAGGTTTGATGTATTCACTCAATTTTGGCTTGCTCACCAGGTCATTGACTCATTTTCCAGGACTTGGCCAATGCTCCTAGGTTTGCTGCTCAGTCTAGGCCAGCTTATCCGGTCTTGGTTCCTAACTTTCTGGATTTTTTTTGCATCCTCACTTGCTTGCAAGGTTTGCTCTCTAAATCTTAGAGATAAACTTGACTGCATTCACTTAGTATTAGGTCAGTTATGGAGCTAGGTTTGTTTCAGCTGTGGAGAATGTACTACATTAATGGATTTTGAAGTGCCCCAAAAAAAAACTAAAAAAAAAAAAAACAACAAAAAAACTGACACTTCATTGATTGTCTTTGTTCATTAAAAAAAAAGAATGGCTTTCTTCTTTGAACTGTCATCATTAAATCTGTCATCTGTGTGATTTTGCTTCCTGGTTAGTGGTAATCAGAGTTTCCCAAAAGTAACAAAAATTATATATCAATGTAGGATTACATGTATATGAAGAATGATGGTTCTAGCGAATATGATCAAACCATGAATTTTCTGGAAACAGGTTGCAATTGTGGTTGTTTAAAAAGATTCTGAAAGAAAAATTTGCCTAGTTACGTGAAGCGTTTCAAGCTCTGAGCAAGACATATTTTTAATGGAGCAATAAATGGCGGGGAAATAACTGTCAGCCGACGTCTAAAAAGAAAACGCGTACTAATAAAAGAACCTTTATTATTTATTATTGAGATCGTAATACGTCCCTCTGTCAGAGAACGTATTTAAACATGTTAGAAATTGGTCGCACGCACTTCGAAAGCGTTAGAAAACACTTGGCGACAAATGGTATAATACCACGCGTCCATGGTAACATAAAACGAATGCCACGATGGAAAACCAAAATAACCATCGATGTATCCATTGTTACAACCGTGAAGAATTTTCTCCAAAAATTCATGGACTACCAAGTCCTGGTAGAAATGTCAACCGAATTACTCAATCGCTTACACTCTTGCCAGCCGAATCGGTCTACCGTGATTTTATTGCAGGTCTCGAAAACGTGAAATTATTAAAATATTACGCATTTTGCACATTATAGCACCAACTAACGCCTTATATTCAAATCATGAGTCCCAAGAACTGATTTATGTGACACATGCCAACATTTTCGTGGATTTGTTGAAAAATACAAAGAATCACCGGAATTTCGTGTGATCACGTGATTCACGCTCGTTGAATATATTGTAGATCAAAACCTGGCGATTGCGAGAGGTGGGTTTTCCTGATGATGAAACAGGGCAATAAGAGTTTTCGTGTTTACCGTTTTTACTTTTCAGAGTCGGTATCTCATACTACTCGGGTGACAACGTACGCTGGTTAATACAATCCTATGCATTTTACTAAGGCTCAATGTAATGTTCAACAAATGCACAAACGCTCATCCCGTTTTTGCGCTGAGGCTGATGAAGCTCATAATGACGAAAATGTAATATAACCAAATTAATATTAATGTTGTTTACAACAAAATAAAAGCCACAGTGACTTTGACGCCACGAAGAAAGCTTAAGCCACAATATTCACAGCCCGGCGCAGTAATAGTCAACAGATATTTTATGTAAAATAAGAAGCGGCTTATCGTGTTGTGGAAAGCAATAGAATCGCTCGTCGCATAGAGGTAAATAAAAACCACATGAGATCATCATGTCCCTTCAGCCTCAATTAACGCGGAAACACAGCCATTTCTAGTCAAGTGACATAATGAACAGTCATATTGAATGGTGCCCATGATCGTTGTTCCTTGCTGCTGTTACGATGTGTCCTTGGGTTTGAAAGCGTTCTTCAAGTTAGTTCGCATCTTCGCCAATCAGCTTGCAAGCTTTGTTTTGCTATTACTATGAAAGCATCATCCGTAACCGGGGTTCAAATCCTCCCGGGCGCGCCATTTAGAAAAAGCGTAAAGAAAAATTAGCGGTGAATAGGAAATAGGACAATTAAGCCCTGGGCTAATTTAATAAAAGATAAAATTACTTGGGGATAAAAATACCCGATGTTTGCCGTTTACGGGTAACTCTGAACTCTTGCGTTTGGTCTTAAATGCAGTCCTCATGAACTATCCACTCGCTTTACGTCAAGATGCGCTAAAATATGTTATGTTAACCATGTGCTGTACAAAAACCCGATAACGCTACATTAATCAGCTAGCGTTAGGAGTTCCATTTTACTTTTAAAGTAGTGCAAAAATAGTTGTAAGAGAAGCGAGCAGCTTTTTTGGTTACGGTAGACGGTTTTAGATACAAAAGTATAGACCTGCAGTGCGCGTCACAAAAATTTTACACTAAAATATCAGCACATAAACTGACCGGAGATTTTATGTTGTTAAACATTAATTTATTAATTACAAGCAGTCAATCAAAACGTATTTCCCGTTCAAGGTCATGATATCCTAACATATCTTTATACTGCCAGCCAGAACCGCGACAATTGCAGCATCCGTTGTCGTCCCAAAATCGCATTACGTTCGTGTCGCTACGTAACTTATGTGATCCATTCCTAGCGATATTTCTGCCTAAAGTGCTTATTTTCTTTGCGTCCAATTCAGGCTGCACACTCGACATCTACACGCAGAGTCAGATTTGCATGTATCAAGGATATAGAGAATAATACAGACCTATTACTATAACTCGGATCGGGACGCGTTGTAATTGTGTCACTCTCGTTGATGCTGTGGATGATGTCGTACGTGTGTGTCGCGTGGTGTTGTTTCCATTGTCCTGCTGTTGCTCCTTCCTGCTCCTGTTGTTGCCTTGTTGTTGTTGATGATATGCTGTTGTTGTTTAGTGTTGCCTCTGTGGTTTGAGGTTCGTCGACATAACTGCTTATTTATTCGTTGTTCCTGCTGTTGCTGTTGTGCATGCCATCAGTAGGGTAGAACTAACCTGCTTGCTAAACGTAAGTACCAGCGTTCAGCACCTTGTATGGGACCTGCGGCCTGGGATCTTTCAAGGGTCGTGTGGCAGCTATTGACGTGCGCGGTCTTGAGAACAAAAACCACTGGCGCTGCAGATGCTTTACGGGCTCAAGACGGTGACTGAGGTTGCAACCACCCAAGGGTGGAGGTGAACATGGCCAAAAGCGAGGATATTGAGAGAGCCACATCATACAGTGCCGTCATCTCTGTCTGGATAATTGAAAGATATTAAATTGCGGTTAGTTCGTTGGTGATTTGACAAACGATATTCTGCCTCTGCGTGTAGAATCCCAGCCAGACCAGACAGAGTTAATGATGCCACACACTGCAACATGATAATGAGGGAAAAAAAATTTTTTCAGGGGGTGAACGTAATTGTGTTACAGTCCCCCGTATTAATAATAAGGTTGGGAATAATAATAAGAAATCGTAATTATTATTATCGTTTCAGAATAATAATAAGTTCCCATCTAATAAATAACAAGTGCTTGAATAATATGCTTTTCCCTCTCTGTGACAAATGTAATGGCAGCAGTTCTTTATCGTACCCTATAGTTATCAGCTTTTTAGCGTGAATCCGTAATCTTGTATCTAAGTACACTCCACTGCTATATGTAACACAAGCAATAGGAGACTGTGATGAGTGAAAATCAGATCGCGCCGATCTCTTAAAACTAAACCTTCTTTGGTTAACGTAAAAATCAATGGCCCGTGGTGTCATTTTTGAATTCGGATTGATCGCTCGATTCACTTTTGCCTGTTGCATCGTCAAGATACCAATTCTTGCACATGCGATATAGCACACATATTAATATATACATTTCGAATATTTACTACAGTCCTTGTTTATTCGAATCTATATGACTTTTTATTTACAAATTTTTTTTTTCAAGCTGATTGCGGCTAAATTCAATATAGACAATCAGATATATAACCAAAATGTGTGATTCCTGACTCAAAATATACAATATATGTTGCTGGTACCAAAAGGTTGTTGCTTTTCTCTGCTTTCGACACACTCATCGAGAGACGATTCCCAGTCCATGGGATGCTCCAAATGAAGTGTACATTATTCCGTGTGTTCCCATTCCATACCAGTCATAGAAACACTCCTTTTTCATTCCATCTCCAAGCCAGATGCTGAAATCCCAGTCCGTATTAGTTGGAGTACTAGGCCCACTTGACTCTGGAGTCTTAGCAAAGGTCGGACTAACAGCAGCAGCATCAGGAGAAACATTGGGAACATATAAATCCTCCTTTATCAACTTTGTATCTAGATCAACTCTTGCTTTCTTGTCCTGTTCCAAATGATCTCTGTGTTCCAAGTATATGTTCACTGGAGTGCCAAGTTCATCTTCGGTTACATGCCGTTGTCCTTTAATACTGCCCTTGCGGTCACGCGTTAATGTGGTTTTAGAGACCGAAACTGAAATTACATCTGTTTGAGGTGGAGACACGACCTGTGAAGGTGACCGACGGCGGGGATTTGGTTTTAGCTTGTGGTCGATAACGTCTTTGAAGTAACCAACACTTTAGATACGAAAAAGATACTTGGTTAGTAAATATATAATATCAATGTAAAAGTTGAAAAGTTGTTTGGGCAATTGTAGAATATTATGATTCCGTTGAACCGTCATATAAACAACCCACATGAATATATGTACTTATGTATACCAACACATTACTTACAATCCACTTCCAGCGTCAGTCTTCTCTCCCGGAGAGACTGTAAGTTCAGGTATGACTTGAGCAGCAGCAGCTAATATCTCTGTAGCGGGCGGGATAGATTGAGCGGCTGCAGCTAATATCTCTGTAGCGGGTGGGATAGATTGAGCGGCTGCAACTAGTAGCTCTGTAGCGGGCGGGATAGATTGATTCATGATAGACTCCATTGTCTCTTGGTATGCTATTTCCAACTTGTCCAATTTATCTTTGACTGATGCGAATATCGATACATTCGACAATTCGGTTTGTTCTTTATCGGATGATATGGGTGCTTCTGATTTAACCCTCATGATTATTTTGGTATTGAGTGAGAAGTGGGTTTTGTTGTGCGAAATACATTATATGTTAAATGGTCGGTGGGGCGCAATATTCCAAGCCATGTTCCGGCGACATCTGTATAACACGAATAACAAATGATTGAGAGTATGCGATGCAGGTATGAGTGCGTGTAACACTGATACATTATAACATATGGAACATGTTTTTGAATTACAATTGATTTATTTATAGTACTTCGTACATATATTAGTAATTAATAATTATCATGTTTAAATAATCAAATAGGCACGCTGCAACAATATGAAAGAACGCCGCCACATAAAACGTCAGGAGACTGAACCTGGACTTTCCATTTACAGGTCGGCGTTCATGTGTCTTTGACTAATGCCAACTAAAGAAGGTATTATAAGATCGATAATAACATTGACTTCTATTAGCATTAATTCAAAATTATTAAAATGGACGAATTTGGTAGCATATTAAACAGCACGGGTGTGAGTTCTTCTTTTGTTAACGAAGTGGGACCTTACATTGTATCACAATGTTTGATCACCCCACCCCCTATCGAATGATATCCATGTTTCATTGTTACTATTTCACTAAACAGTAATGCACAACCACCAATTCTACAGGTGTATTGGATATGCAGTCCTTCTTTTCAAATTTCTAGATAGACGTTCCAACAGTTCAGACAAAGAAAATCAGGATTAGTGTCGGCAGCTTTGTTGATCAAAATGGCAGTTTTCTTATCGGATCGTATTGTTATTCACGTCCCCAGTTTACAAGATTAGGCAGATTACCAACTAGAATTAGCGACTGACATCAACTTTACTAGATAATATAATATATCCAAACCCCCTTTTCCAATTCCATGCTTTAGCAACATACGCATCATCAGGTTCTCAACCTTCCAGACAAATTCTAAGAATTTAACCATAGAACAACGTGTTGATTTCGTCTTCCGATTACGGTCTTCACATCTTGAGCCAGAGACTTGTTGATTAATTAATGTGTCCAGCATATACTAATACGGGCATGCTGAAGTGTGCCGTCAAATTAATTTACGTCGAACAAGGCACATGCTTCTCGCCGCTATATCTATAACGGGACGCCTACTGTTACTAACAATATCAACAGATATAGAGTATCCCAATTTTGGTGGGGGCTTTTTCACTGAATACTGACTTGGCTTAGTATTAACTTTATTCGTGATCGACAATATTTGTTTCGAATGACATTGCAATTATCGTAAAAGTAAAAGAGTCATTATTACTGATTGCAAGTTAATTGCACTATCTAAGCCTTTACAGTCACAATTAGTCATATGACTTATCCAACCTGAATACGCCCTGTGATCAGTTCATTTTTTAAAATGATTCTGGCATATGAAAAGTATTTTGCTTATTGTTGTTGGTTAGTGTAAATGTTTGTAAGTATATAGAGTAAATAAAACTGTAATATAATAAGGTCCAGTTGTATTGTGGCTTTGAGATTTTATCTCTTGGCATTTCAGATATATTCTTAGTCTAATAAACAACGAGTTAATCTGATTGCTGAAATAACATTTTATTTAGCAATAACACGGCTTATTTAAATGTCGTTATTTACCTTTTATCCCAAATTTCAGACAACTTCCCAATTAACTACAGTCAAACCGAATTTTTGAAGGAATTCTGGCTCCCCCGTCTTTTAAATAGTAAAATTCTCTCGTTATAACGAATTTAATAGTAAAATCTCGTTACCGAAGTTCGATGCAAGATTTTTACATAGACTACTAATCGCTTTATACCGAAGTTTTATCACGCGATAAAAATTGTAGAATAGTGATTGGTTGTAGCAGATGAGGATCATACGATTTTTGGTCATACATTTCGCATCATACGACACGTACGTGGTATATCTGCATATTACAGTATTTTTAATAATATGATTTTAGCTGTCACATTCGTGTGCCAATATTTCTGATCGTATGACTTCAGCCGTATTTCGTACCTACTGTTTTTTAATTCAGTCATCATGTTTATGATACTCATTGTTCCATCAAACATAAGCAAGGAAATGGTGACGGAAATTGTTTCTTCCTTCTTTCCCGCAGAAGAGGAAGGCAATGATGAAAGTGGCTCGAAATCTCTCTTTACCGTCTTTAATAAAGATGCAGCAGTCGCACTTGAAACGGTATTCAACAAGGTGACATAGAAATAAATTACGATAAATTCGTGCGTTGAAGAGTGCATAGTATTGCAAAGCAAAAAAAAAATCCAATAGATTCATTTGTTACTGATTAGTATGATTATTTTATTATATTCATGTATTATTGTTTTGAAGTAAAGATATTATTCACATAAGTCTTATTATAACGAATATTGCTTGACAACCAAAATTGTTGTTCTTTTATGTATTTAAATATTCTAACTTTGTTGAATAGAAAACACGTGCGCAATTAAGTGAGTTGCCGTTTCTAGGTTACGTCTGAGAATGGAGAAGGTCACACATTTACTTGTACAAAATTTCAATCTCTTTCTGTAAGTGTATTGGAACAATAGAACTTGGGACTTATAACTTATCAGGCAAGTCCAACAGTCTTTGTTATGATAATTGTTCTTTTATAATCGTTGATGCATTTTACATTATCGGTGTTATTAGCATATATAATAAAAAGCATTTAATCCCAAGACATTGTAGGAGCGTGGCAGCGCACTGTCACAATTATTTTACATACACAGTTCAAAAGTGTAGATTGTTATCAGTATTAGTATCACATTGAGCAGTATGTCGAACGCCCAAAACAATCGTGGGCGACTTGATAAATTTCTGTATTTTTATTAGACAAGCCAAGACAAATGCAGGGATTACTAGCAAAATATTATTGTTAGTCTGTATAGTTGTAGCAGTTAACTCCTGGAGTAGTGAAGTTCTCGGTGCAAGATACAAGAGCGCTTCTACTATACAAATTATACAGCACCACGTCCGTGCAATGTATTGGTATAGCAGAGCTCCAATGGCATTGCAATAAATATGATAAAGCATTCATTTTTATTTGTTTCGATTAATGAATTCATCTGATTCTAACACAAACACCGACATACAGTTGAGTATGTAGAGAATGATGAGTACTGCAATTCTAATCAGGAAGACAAAAGATAGGAGCTTCAAATATCAGTGGCGAGAAAATTGACTGAAATAATAATTATCATGAAAATGCGGCAAGGAGTGTTGGAAGATGCGTCAATATTGTTGATATCCGATGTTTGTAAATAAGTAATAATCTCCCATTTTATAGAATCGTCAGCAAGGAAAATCAAAGTCCTGTAAAACCGCAATTGAAAATTCCTCTTTGCTCAAAAGATGTATGACAGAACCAAAGAGGAAAGAAAAATAGAATTTTTGGTGGAGCAGAATAACGTGAAAATTTGTCTACTTTTGTGATATGTGTTTTTGCGGCAAATAGTGGATTTTCAATTATCTCTTCGTTATTATCATCATTACTGTAATTGTCATCATTAGGTGGTGGACATAATGTGCAATATTTTGATAAATTAGAATCACATTTACAAGGTTTTCCATGATCAGGGTCGTGATGTAATTTACATTGATTGAATATTTTTCTACAATAATTGTTTTATTCGAGAACTTTTTCATAAAAAATTTCAAAATGAAGTGTATATCACCTCACCAAATACTCTGTGAAGCTGTTTGAATGATAGACAATTTGGTTCACGTATTTGACAGGACAGTACAAGTATACTTGTGAATGAAAATACCTATCGTCAGTTCATTCATCTTGATGGATAATGTATGAAATTTTTTCCAACATTTTGTAGATGATTCTGCGTCTTTACATTTACGATGTTTAAGATTACAATTAGAGCAATCCTTTGATTTTTTCCATTTCATGATAACATTTAAATCGAGTTCTACAATAACGACAAGCACGTTTTTTTTTCCCTTTGTTTTATTCGCAGTCTTCAACTGCGGTCTCGCGGGAGGGGGGTAATACTAGACAATAGTTTTTACTATTGCCTACCCCCGCGCTACCCAGAAGAAATTGCTATAAAGTTTTGATTCGGAAAAATAATAATAAATTAGATATTACATTTCAGATTATCGTGTCAATTTAGACGCATCGAAACAGATACTTGAGATATAAAAGATGAATGAAAGTCTAAATTTAATCAAATCCCAACAAAGTAGATCAATTTAATAAAGTACATAAGCGGATAAGTAAAGGTAAAGAAATTACCATCGGAATTAACTGAACATATATTTCATTTATTATCGATCATAATAATAATAATAAATGTAAACAAGGTCATAAATGGTGTTTTAACATTTATATCACTATTGACAAATATTTGTAGAACATGGACGGGAATAACATATTTTCACATCTGGAAACAATTGAACTTGGTAAAAACTTTAGTTTAAAAGAACAGAAAAGAACATTGAAGTTAATTAAGTTTTTTAGCGATGATAATTTCGTCACAAAAAATTATATCAAAGACATTTTTATTCATAACAATTATTTATGTAATGATACAATTTATAACATTATTAAGAAGAATCCAAATATTCGAGTAACAATTGATTTTAACTATAACTTATACGAACACGTAATCGAGAGAGGTAGTTTTGACAGCAAATTATTAACTGGATTCTATAGAAATCGAAAGATTATCTATGTATCAACTGCAAAAAAAAAAGAATCTGCATATTTAAATTCGACGTATTATCTATCATTTTGCGTAAAAATTAAATTACAGAAACCATATTTAAAAAATATCGAAGAATCAGTATTTTTAGATAAAATAAATATAACGATATAGATGAAACGGAATCATATAGTTACGCTGTAACCCATCGTAGATGTGTGCGTTTTACTCGCGCCGCTTCGCTTTATTATAAAGTTTGTTCGTTGCTTGTAATAAATGTATCGTTTAAATAAAATTTTATCAATAATTTCAGACTTTGACCAGTTCTGGTAAAAAATATTGACTTTATTTTTTACAATTCCATCAAAAATAAACAACAGCAATGGATAACAATATAGTGTAAATTGCTAAAACAATTAATAAATAAATTCCAACATCGAATCTACCGCCTATGTTTTCTGCATTAATATAACTCTATGCTATTTATTGCTGCTACCCGAAGTAAAACTAGGCGTATACGAGAAAGAGGAAGAATATTAAGGACGGGTGTCGCAGCGTTCGACAATTTCTATTGGTGCAATTCCGAGAATTCTTTCATTTTTGGGATTTGCACCCGAAGTACCAGAAGGTGGTGGACCAACTGAGGCATACTCTTCGACGACAAAGCAACATTGGTCTTTGATTGTCTCGATTGATACAAAGGCTCTGTTTAAATCAGAATCAGGTATAGAGGTGATGATTGGTTTGCTGAAACCCTCGTAGTCCAAGTCGATGGTGGCAATGTCACCAATATCGCTGGGGGTATTGGAGTTGGCTGTATTGCATTTGGCCACGTGAATATCATAGAATCCTTCAACTGAATTGGCGGGTGGTGTTGGTTGGGTGAAGGGATTGGGATTGGGGGTTACGCCATCAATATTAATCCAGCCAGAGATATGCAATTTTTTGTTTCTGGATGACTCTGCGAATGTTAGAAAACCGTCGAATGTGTTGCCATGATAGTTGTTGCCTAACGTAACCCCATTCACTTTCGTGGGTTTGTCAAATTTTTTAAACACACATTTAGCAATAGGACAACAATCCTTAGGATTAGTCCACCTCTTTTCAAGAGGCGAGGCATTGGCTGGTGTAGAAATTACGGCGAGAAGGGTAACCAAGAAAATCAAATAGACCGATTTCATTTTGGATTAAATTTTTTGGATTCTTTATAAGCTTGCCAGTTGACTTAGTCCTTGGAAAGGTGAGGAGGAGGGAGACTCGAAACGCAGGCAATTTATAGTTTTTGGACTCGAGAGTGATGTATTCCTCATCGGGAAATGCGATTCCCGAAACGTATTTCGAGTTACAATCTTTTGATATCAATAAAAATAGTAACGGAGAGAAGTCGAGTTTGATGCGCGATGATTTAAAAATAACTCTTGAAAGATTCGTGTCACAAAGCTGCGTGTTTATTGCATCAATATAAGCAAGCAACAATTGATGCGATTGTTGACAATGAAAAAACCTGTTTCATAATTGTTGGCGTATGTGTGTGCTACTCACAGATCAGTCACGATTGTAAGAACAAAGTCTTTTTAGAATTCGTGATATTTTAAAAGACGTGCTTGTGTGTACTACTCACAGATGCATAGTCGCGGTCTATAATCATGCTGTTTCAAATTAAAATAAATTTTTGCAGTAGATCGCAAACTTTTTATGCAAGTCGAAACAATTTGTACTTTGGCTACACCACTAGTCCATTTTCGCTTATGTATTTACTTACAGTATTCTTAACTCCATCTATTTTTATGTATTCCATACTTCCAACATTGAATAACACATGGTCTTATCATTCTTTATTCACGCATATACGCAATTAAAGATAATGGCTAAAAATAATTCTTTTCATTTGCTTGATGACGATGATAACTGTTAAATTCGGCAATAAAATAGATGATCGTGGGAATTGCGGCCAATAATCACAGTAATCACTATTTTCTTACAACTCGCCTATCCGCCCGCCGTTTTGTGCTTGCATATACACTAAAGTATTTTCAATTAAAAGAGTGCTTATCAACTTGTACACAAGTGCATGCTCCGACGATCCACTTGCAGCTTGCTATATTTGTCATGTATCCGTATTTACGTGTGTAACTGTTGTATCTCAGTTGGGGACCTGGACTGAGACAACTGAGTTCTGGACCGAGTGTCTGGGTTCTGAACTGACACAACATAACTACGTTTATATGACTATTACATATTATCTAAACGTGAATGAATATTCTCGAATAACTAGATAAATGTGACAGAAATTGTGTACGTAATCTCAATGTCTAATTTCTTGCTCTTCTTACTCAATCAGAACAGACGTCATGGTTGACATTAAGCATCTATTTTATTTTTATTTTTTCGCTTGTCTATAATTGAAAAGCATCCTTTAAAAATACTATACATTAAATTCTGGTGCGAGAATATGTGTGGCTCATGAGCTTGTTGTCTAAAAAAGAATTCTGTAAAAATTCTGTAAAGAAACTTATTGGCCGATTTAGCAATAACTCAATGAAACCGTCGAAATTTCCATGCAGACACCGATGCGATAGTATGCATGTTTCATAATCTAGAAAAAAAAGAGGAATAACCATAACAATAAATGGGTTCTGTAAAATAAACTTGTCGGCTGAATTAAGTTGTATTTTTTTGGTAATAACTCGATGAAAAAATCGAAATTTCCATGTAGAAACCTAAAAATACTTCTATCATCGACATTGTTGTTTCGACTTTTTGAGTATAAGTTCAAGACAATACAGATTGTTATTGGCTAATGTTTAAATAGCAATGCTTTGTTTATATGTGATCCCCCAAGCCTCAAAATAGAAAACATTTTATGATTACCCGTTTTTGATAATAATAATAATAATTTATTAAAAGCTATTACAATAAAATAAATGTTCTATATCAGAGCATTTCTGAAACCAATACGTAACAGGGTCCGATTCATTTCACTGACAATCAACCACCGAGAAAGGACAACTTCGAAATAATGTTGGGGAATATTTGTCGTCAAATGTTGCCACCCTTATGTAACGTATTGACTGAAATTATGTATATGTGAAACAATATGTGTCTTCCAACATTTTATTATTATGGGTTCTCCAGTGACCATCAGATCAATTCCGTTGATGGTTAATTATGATTAAGACAAAAAAAATAAATTTTATAATGATTATAATCAGCACGAGGAACTTTTTATTCACAACGAGGTGCTCGCTAAAGCCCAGTTTAAGCTGTTTTTATCTATCTACATCTGTAAAAGAAGAGAATAAAAGTAGATTGTATTCCGCTAGGGGAGATCCAGGGGGTCGATCTGCAAATCTATGCTGTGAAGTGAAAGTAAACGTCCAAAGTGATGTCATTGAAGGAGGGGACTTGCGGTAACAACTGGATATGGAACGTAGAAGCCGATTGGGGAGGTCAAGGGGAGGTTGTGAGTTGGTACTACTTGCAAACAAAAATGATTTGTGAAATGTCCAGATTGTCTATTTCATTGACGTGTGCTATTACTATAATTAATTTGTGATCGACATGATTTACAGATGATCCGAGCAACTAATGCTAAAAACAAGCAGACAAAAAGTGAGTAAGGTTATTGGCTGAGATTGACTAAAATGGGAATAATCATAAATGCGGCATGCTGAAAAATAGTTGAGGCCAATTCATTACCTCATTGTCGAAACCCAATTTTTTTTGTAAACCACAGTAAATCGATTGGGAAAAAAAATAAGCCGCGAGAACCAACAATACTTTATTTTCGCTTCCTGGAAAAATAGCGGAAATGAATGCGAGTCAGATCCACGAAGAGTTGGCGAACGTGTAGAACGAGAACAAGCATTGTCTATCAGCACTGGATTGCTATATTCAAAGACGAGGAAGAAGAAATTAAAGACAAGGCGTTCTGGACGTCCTCGCGAAGCAGTGACGTCAGAGAAAATTGCCAAGGTCGAGGAAATAACCCGCACATTTCTATTAAAGAATAATCGGCATTTCTCGTGAAAGAATTTCCTACGTTTGCATAATGAGCTGAGCCCCCAGAAAGAAAGGTAACGATCATAACGGGTATCTTAATAACGAACCGGTGGAACTTCTTCCCCACCTGCCCATACAGGCCAGACCTTGCTACTTGTGATTTTTTTTCTTATCCCCCCGAATCAAAAAAGAACTGAAGGGAAAAAGATTTTATAAGGTCGAAAATTTGGCAAGGGCTGTTCAGGCAGTTGCTGAAAACTATTCCAAAAGCCGACTATGAGAAGCCTTTCCAGAGTTGGCCTGCAAAATTGGAAAGTCTTTTTTCGTACACTGACACACTATACAAAGTTGCTTAGTTAGCAATCGTTTGCCCTTGCTTAACGCAGATCGTCGTCTCATTACCTTTTTGAAGCGAGTGTGATTTTGTGTTTTATGTACCGAAAATCTTTTGTTTCAGAACAATGTCGGGGACAATTGACAGCTTGATTCAATCCTCATCGATAAGTAATCTTGAATGGATTCCTTGTTCTGAAATCACCGATATTAAGTCAACTCCAACAGACGCTATCTATTACGCTAATCGCAAATATGAACGGCTTGGTAGAATTAAAGAAACGATGATAATGTTGCTATTCCTTGGAAATAGTGAAGAATGTACACCAGCTTCCGTGAGTACATTTACCAGAATATACTCACTTCCGACAGACGAGTACAATAACGAGTTAACCAGTTCAGAAGATTTTCCACTTGGCTTAAGGAGCGCAACAAACTCATAAAGGGATTTACCAAGTATGATGATAGCTATTACATGGTTGCCGATAGAAAGTTTTACGATTGTTATTCTCGATATGGCTTCTGCACTGCATGTGGAATACTCCCGTGTGGTGCGTTTGCGGGCATAAACAATTATCCGATGGATGGACTAGCAACAATAAGCAACTCGATGAGTTTATTAATAAATCTCAATTACAAACAAACTCACCAAATCATGCCTATTTGGAATGGATTCCATTTTATTGTATTAACGATTGGGGAGATAATGAAGGACGCTTACTTGGTCTACCTACTCCTTATGCACAAGTTACATTGACTACACTTGAGACACATGATTTATATTATGACAAGGTAAACTATTCAATTATGCATCACGTTTATTAAATTATTCAGTTATTGACGAAACATTTCCACTAGTTATGTGATAAGCATCCAAATATTCTTACCACAAATGTTTGGGTTACCATCGGATTCACATACAATGCAAGTAAACAGAAGTATTGTCTAATAAAAGAAAAGTGTGATGATGGATTATGTCGGGGGTGTACATGTCGATTAGAACTCAACAGAAATGCATTCTGTTATCGGTGTAAAGCACCAGCACCTCTCGATTGGACTACGGGCAACAAGTCTTTAGATTCATTCATAATGGAATCATGGAGTAATATGACGGGAATAGATGATGCCTATATACAATGGATTGAATACTCTCTATTGACAAACTTACGAGCGATGACATCATTACGCCACGAATGCACACATACAGCAGATTGGCTAGAACCGACAACAAGTGAATCGACAAGAGTGATACTCAAACCGATAGTTGATGCGCAGTCGTTTGATTTTTATCAGGTAAATTCTTTCATGTGTAATAGTATACAATGCAAATAGCGTTGTTAGCGTTGCGTGTTTGTAATGCGTTTAATCGATTATTGATGTAATGATTGTTTTTTTATTAAATAGCTAATTACAGATTACCCGGAGATATTAACCCCCAATAATATTTGGATAATTGGATTCACTCAAGAACCATCATCGCGAAAATATTATTTAGTTTTCTACTATGACATACATGCAATATTGGACAGATTTATACGACTTGATGGATTTGCTAAGTGTATGCAATATGGTGACTTTGAAGAGATTAAAGAGATTGGATCTGGTGGTTATGGAAAAGTTTATACTGCCAAGTATAAAAAGTATTCAGAAGTAAGGTATATGCAAGAAACTGTTGTACTTAAACGCTTCAAAGATTTTGATAAAACGCCGGAACTATTTATTTCCGAGGTAAGAATTTTTGATATAATTAACTAATGCAATATTTTAATCTAACTCTGTATTTGTTTTCATTTAATAGTTCAGAAATCATGCCAAGTGCAATGTTTATTCTTTCCTTGCTCTCTAT